CTTCTTCTCCTCCTTTGCTTCCTCTTCTTCTTCTTCTCCATTCATTTATTTATCTTCTTTTTCTCTCTCCCTTTATTATCGTTATCATTCCAATTCTTCTTACCTCTTCTTCTCCTTTGCTTCCTCTTCTTCTTTTTCCCCATTCATTTCTTTATCCTCTTTTTTCATTCTCTTCCTCTTCTTGCTCTCTAAATATTTTCTGTTCCTATGGACGGAGGGAGGAAAGAGAGGAGGGAGGAGGAAGGAGAGAAGGGAGGAGGGAGGAGAGAGGGAGGGAGAGAAGGGAGGAGGAAGTGGGTGGAGAGAGAGAGAGAGAGAGAGAGAGAGAGAGAGAGAGAGAGAGAGAGATTTGATTTGATAATATTTATTTACAGAACAGTGTACATGCCCTGTAAAAAGCCAGGGTAAGATGCTACCGCATCTTTCCAACTGGCTATGCTTATATTTATGTAAAGGGCTATTAGTCAAACATTAGTTCTACATGCCTGAAGGGCTGTGTCATTATGCATACATTATTCACATATCATCTAGTTGGTAAAAAAAACTTTTATATCCCTAATCATATCGAAGACAAGACCAGTGTCTATGATAAAATTAATATAATCAATAAGTGCTGCTCTCTGGACAGTGCTATTTGATCGATAGGATGCAGTTTTTGAGCAACAAAGTAAGTAATGTGTATTATGCGACTTGGGCGCCTTGCACATTTTGCATTGGTGATATGTAACTGGCTTTGCCTCCAAAACTGCATCCTGTACATAATGTATAGTGTATTGATACCCTATGCGTAGCCTGGTTAGCGTGACCTGCTGTCTCCGAGACAGTCCATCGTAGTATTTTGAATGGTTTGTCAGCATCACATGACCTGACAATACTTTCATAATGCCAGATGGTACCATGTCCACTTTTCTTCAATTTTTCAGTGGTCCATACCTGGCCCTCATAATCTCGAAGACAGCTGATAACACGTTTTTTTCATTTGACTGATAGATAGCGGTATTACATAATATGGTTCTTCATGGGAAAGTGCTTGTTTTGCTAACTTATCTACGTTGTCACAGGTTGATATCCCTATATGAGAAGGTATCCAGTATAGTGATACTTGTATACCCTGCTCAGATAGGCTAGCGATTTGGTGAATGGTATTGATAGTTACCATGTTATCTGGATTAAATGTTGTAAGTCTATAGAGTGCACCCTGGCTGTCAGAGAAGACAGCTAGGTGTCGCTGCTGTTCAGTACCTTTTTGGATGGCATGGTATATTGCTACTGACTTTGGCATCAGTTGTGCTTGTCCAGTTGAAAATTTGCACACTTTCTTGAAGAGCAATTTCGGGAATTAGTACACCAGTCCCTGCTGCTCCATGAGGATCAGTAGAAGCATCACAGTAGATTGCAAGTGGGGGGGGGGACCCTGAGGGGGGTGGAGAATATCTATATATTTCAATGGCCTTTTAACTCTGTTATTGAAGTCATGTTAATTTATCAATATGTACGTTAACATGTGATCTATGCCATGGTGAAGTAAGCGTTGCTTCTGGGATGTTGATAAAATCATTGTTCCACACACTGAAGCTGAGAATAGTCTGGGCAGTCTTGGCCTTCCATTCCAAGTTTGACTTTATATGAGATTGGAGTATCGAGGCCGTCGGACATGCATCCCAAAACCAGGGTGTCCTGATGAATTTAGACCGATTTCTCTGACATCCTGTTTATCTAAATTAATTAATTTATTTAATAAATTTATTCAAATTTATTATTTAATATTAATTTATTTAATTAATTTGTTTAATAAATTAATTGTTTATCTAAATTAAGAATCTAAAACCTGTGAAAGGATCCTCCTCAATCGTCTGCTCCACCAGATCAAAGATCAAATTCACCCATCAGTCTTTGGTTTCCAAAAGGGGAAAGGAACACAAATGTACCTCAGTGGGGGTATACAGAAATAGATAAACATATAGACGGATAAGGGGATAGAGAGAAGGAGAGGAGGGAGGGAGAGAGAGAGAGAGAGAGAGAGAGAGAGAGAGAGAGAGAGAGAGAGAGAGAGAGAGAGAGAGAGAGAGAGAGAGAGAGAGGGAGAGAGAGAGAGAGAGAGAGAGAGAGAGAGTAATGCACAGTCTTCTTACTTCATAGATTTCAAGGGTGCATTTGACAGAGCTTCCCTACTGCAATCCTCCATAGAGAGAGAGAGAGAGAGAGAGAGAGAGAGAGAGAGAGAGAGTAATGCACAGTCTTCTTACTTCATAGATTTCAAGGGTGCATTTGACAGAGCTTCCCCTACTGCAATCCTCCATGAGAGAGAGAGAGAGAGAGAGAGAGAGAGAGAGAGAGAGAGAGAGACGGAGAGAGAGAGAGAGAGAGAGAGAGGAAAAGAAGGGAAAGGAGTGAGGAGGAGAGAAGGTAAGGAAGAGGAAGAGAGAGAGAGAGAGAGAAGGAAGGGAAAGGGGTGAGGGGGAGAGAAGGATAGGAAGAGAGAGAGAGAGAGAGAGAGGAA